CCACCTATTTATACAGTCATTGGTTGATTCTTGCGTGTGCCCTGACTGGGGATTGAACCACAGCCGTACCAGGATGGTGCTCTGACCAGCTAAGCTACCCAACCAGGACACTGCTTTCTGTTTTAGCAGATTATTTTGAAGTTTACTTCCATATTCTAACTAACATTCAATACTGGACACTAGTTGTTGACTTATCACTATTAGATTTTCTCTCCTTCTAGGGGAGGATTCTTTTTTGGAAAAACTGTGGCAAGAAGTTTGGTGTGACTGCAAGGATGATTGGAGTATGTGGGGGGGGTTCTTGACAGCAGGGAGACTCGATGGGAAGGAGGAGGCACTGAGATTTTGTTTTTAAATTGAGGAGTAACGTACACTCAGTTAAGTGCATAAAATATACTAGGTGTGCAAAACTCCACGATTTTTTAACTGTAAGTATACAGTGTCTCCAGTGCTTCTCTCAAAATGTAGAACATTTCCAGCCTTCTTGAAATTCCCTGGTGCCTCATGAGAAAGTCTTGAACAGAGGCATGAAAATTCATTCCTAGTTATAGATGGTAGCCAGAAAAGAAGGTGGAGCTGGAGAGGCCCCAGACTTGGGAGACTGGGTAGACTGGATGGTGCTTCTCCCAACCAGCGAGGTAGTCCAGGAGGAGAGGAGGATCAGGTTTTAATTGAGGGAGGAGTTCAGATGGTGAGGTATGTTCAGCTTCAGACTTGTTGAATTGTGGGATATCTAAGTGGAGCTACATAGGAGGCAGGTGGAAATATAAATTTGGAGTTCTGGGGGGAAAATTGGGGATTGAAATGTAGACTTGTACTTACCCATCAGCATGTCAAGTCCATTTGAGATCGAACAAGTAGATGAGATTCTCTAGAGTCTGTAGACCGACATGACCTGAGGTTATGATGTGAGGTGTGTGTTGCTTTTATTACTCTGTTTTCATTCAGATAGTGAGTTAAATCGGTGAGAAAATTTAGTTTAAACACTTTAAAAATAAGTTTGTGAACAAAAATTCAGTAATACACAATTGGTTAAAAATAAAAAAATACATTGGTTCAGAGGGTTATAAGGAAGTATGCTTCCTTCCCCCATCCTACTCCCCACTCCAGTCTCTTGGGTCTCCTTCCAGATAATTTTCATGCATATGCATTTAGTGTATGGTTTTGTCTTTTTGTTAGACCACACCCATTATTGCTTTGGTTGGGAGTGCCTTTTCAGCTACGTATAAGTGTGATTGGTAGACTACAGGCATGTGAACAAAATGGTAAAAAGCCGTTTGTTTTGTTTTGTTTTCTGTTTTTGCCTTCCCCTTGTCCTCTAATGAGTTTTATGTTGATGAACTTATAATCTTGACTGAAAAATTTCTTTCCTTGATTTTTTTTCATTTTCTTGAAAAATCATACTAATGTGTAAGCAAGCACATCTTGGTATTCACTGGAGTTCTTAAATCTGCCTTTGATTAATAGCACTGCTAACAGTGTCACATTTTTTTCTGCGTAATGTGAATAGATTGTTTCTTTAATCTGGGGGGAATGCTGTGTTTATATTTTTCTTGATTGCTTTGTTGACTGTGATTCTCAAGTTAGAATGAATACAAGGCTCCTTAGAGTCCTCTTTCATGGTGAAATGCACTCTATGAGTTTGTAGCCCATGTTTTGTTTGGAGTGAATCTGATCTCTGGTCCAGTTGAGAACTAAACAATGTCACATCTGGGTTCCAGAAAAGCCCTAATATTAATTCTATAATCACTGCAACTTACCTAACCCCTTTTATGACGGTACTTGTTGTTGAAAGAGCAAAGATCATAATGCGCATTTTCATTCATTTAACAAATACCCTATAGCTACTTTCTGTAATACTACTACTAATAAAAGGAAACATAATTGAGTACTTACTATTTGTTAGCACTTAATAAAATACCATCCTGAGTGCTAGATGTGCAGTAAGGAGCAAAATAAGCCTGGTGCTTTCCCTTATGGAATATTGTATGAAGTGATAGTGTCAGAGATAACGTTTAGCATCAGTACTTGAAGATCAAGTAATTCTGTTCTCTTGAGTTCTAAGACCTTTTCACCTGTCAGAGGTTTGCTATCAGTTGGCTTGTCCATTCTGACCTTGCATGGTCAGAGTGACCTGTGTTTTTCACCAGAGCTCCAGCAGGCACCAGAGCACCACTAAAATGAATCCCACTCTGTGGGGTCACCCTCACACAGCAGCCTGTCCCGGCTCGTCTTTACAGCCAGTTGGCCTCACTGATGTGCCAACAGTAGTCAGCGCTCAACTACAACAGGAGGGCACATCCAACCCACATGAGGGACACCCCTGGAACACCCATCTCAGGTGACCAGGGGGACTTTGCCACAGGACAAAGGACTATACAACCCCCATAGGACACCTACTATATAGGGCCACTCTACCAGACTGGGAGATGTAGCAGATCTACCGAATACATAGAAACAAGCACAGGGAGGCAGCCAAAGTGAGGAGACAAAGAAACATGCCCCAAATGAAAGAACAGGAGAAACCTCCAGAGAAAAAAACTAATGAAATGGAAGCAAGCAATCTACCAGATACAGAGTTCACACACTGGCATTAGGGATGCTTAACGAACTTAAGGGAAGAGCAGATGAACTCAGTGAAAACTTACAGAAAGAAACCACATGCGTGCGCACACACACAAAGGCAGAAATACATCGGATGAAATCAGCAGATTCAGTGAAACGGAAGAGTGACCTGTGTTTTTGACTGAGGCCACATTCCAAAAGTTTCTTCATAGTTGAATCTCAGTTTCTTAAAATGCATTTAATTTCAAATGTGTCTGTGATAGAATCACATAGTATTTAAAACCAAACTAATGGTTGAACTTCCTCCTTCCTAGACAGTCTAGCCAGCTATGTGCACTAATTGGTCCTGCTGGTGTGGGTGTGTCTCAAATCCAGGAGTACATCTTTTCAAGAGACCCACCGCAGCATTCCTGACAGATAAATCTGCCACCCATTTGTTAGATTTAGGAGCTCTGAGAATTGCCTCACTTTTTACTTTTATGTTCAATTGAGAGAAAATAGTTTAAACAATTTTAGAGTTCAGGTGATCTGGGTACTGGTATGGCAAAATATTTTTAGATTGGCTTTTTTTAAAGAGATGATCATTGTTTACTTTTCTTGTGTTTTGAGTGCTTTTGATTTTGTTCAGCTTAATAGCTTATGTGTTACATTGTTAATTTTTAAATTTTCTGTTTTCAGATACTGGCTCATTTCTAGCTATTCTCTTCTAAACATAATTCAGCCTTCTGCATAAAAGTATTAAAAATTGCCACAAACTTATATGCCTTTGGGGAAGAAATTGATGAAGACTTAAACCAGTTTTATAGATAGTTTGCATTAAGTTCTTCAGACCATCAAATTGAACCAGTACCAACAGATTCCATGTATCATGCTTATCTAAATGTCTTTCCCTTTTGTCAAATACAACTATTTTTTTCCAAACTGCTCTAACTTGCAGCTACTTGAGTAGCTTTCCCAAATTGATACCAGCATTCAATATTCCAGAACATATTTATCCTTGGGGTATGTAAATATATTAGTTTCTATAGTTTTGTAAATTTTTATTTATTTGTTTTTACTAGTTTACATCATATCTCTGATCAGGTTGTCTGAGAGGGCAAGAATCTTTTATTCTCTTGCAACTTTCCTTCACTCGAGTACAGGGCTCAATTGAAAAATACGCTCCTGGTAAATTTGATTGACCATCGTCACTGCTCTCTTGTTTCAAATAAGATTAAAGTTAGCACACAAAATACTCTAGTGGTTTTCTTTCTAAAATAAGGTTTCCATTAAAATTGACCAAAAAGTAAAAAGCTTTAAGTTATTAGATCGAAAGTACAGCGACTTGGTATCTGTATATTAATATTTGAGCACCTCAAAGGATGAATGAATCAGTGATAATCTTAGTGTTTGAATAGGTACTTAGATGAAGGGGGCGGAGTGATTTGGTGATGGTTACTGATCATTGTAACAATTGTTGCCTTGTGTTGGATTTCACTTTCTACTTTTATGTAATGCTGGACCACTCACAAAATAAGCATTTTACTTTTTGTGCATAATTTATTTGTGTTACCGTTGAAAAGAAAGGCTGGTATGAATCATGTGTTTTGACAGGGGCCCAATGCTGATATTTGGAGTTCTATGGCTGAGTGGCTTTAAAAACATGGATCAGTAAAACATTTACAAGTATTTTATTCTAAAACTGCATTTACTTTTTTAAAAATTTAGTTATTTTTAGAGAGAAGGAAAGGAAGGGAGAAAAAGAGGGAGGGGAACATCCATGTGCGAGAGAGACATCCATCGGTCGCCTTTCGCACACCCCCAACTAGGGACCTGGACTGCAACCAGGCGCGTGCCCCGACTGGGAATTGAATCCTTGACCTTTCAGTTCGAAGGCTAGCATTCAATCCGCTGACCCACACCGGACAGTGTTGAATGCACTTACGATCACTTCACTGATAAGCTAACATACTCCTTTTCAGGATAGACTTTCTCTTTGTTGATTTATATATTTTTGCTTTTTTTTCTATTACAGTTTACATTCAACATTATTTTGTATTAGTTCCAGGTCTATAGCAGAGTGGTTAGACAATTATGTACTTTACACAGTGTTTCCCCCGGTAGTTCTTGTTTTTTTTAGTAGAACAAAGGAAAGCATGTATTCTCCAGCCACAGCACTGTCGGGTCTGTTCCGTGAAATCAAGTAACAGTAGAGGTGGTTCGGCATTGTTCCTAGGCAGTCCCTCTCCCTCCGTTTCTCTTTTTTTGCTGTTCTTCTGAATCAACTTATTTCTTCTGGAAAAAAATATGCCCTGCTTAAGTCTTAGTGGGTATTTTTTTAACTAAGAGAATTCTGAAGGTATAATTATACAAATCTGTAATGACTACTGAGATTTTTTAGGTAGAAATTTCTTTCTCGGTGTGGTTGAAATAAGCATTGTAAATCTCCCTTTCAGATCCATCATGTTACACACAATGGAGGACTCTACAAGAGACCGTTTAACGAAGCTTTCGAAGAAACGCCCATGCTGGTCGCTGTGCTTACTTATGTGGGGTACGGGGTGCTCACCCTCTTCGGGTATCTTCGAGATTTCCTGAGGCACTGGAGGATTGAAAAGTGCCACCATGCGACGGAAAGAGAAGAACAAAAGGTGATTGTTAGAGGACTTTTAATTCCGTGAATAGAAGCCTTTTTTAGAAATCTTGGTATTTTCACTCATTTTGTTCTTCAGATATTTTGGTGCACATTAAAATAAAAATATTCCAGATATAATAAAAGAAAACATCCCACAAAGAAAGTTGACAACAAGGTTAAAGGCATGGAGAAAATAAAACATTTAACATATTTTAATTTAATCATCAAAAGAGCCTATTCCTATTTTATGGATAAGAAAACTGACATTCACAAGTTAAGTAATTTTTCCTAAGCTGCCTTGTTTCAGAGCTGGTGCACGGACCCAGGGTGGTGAAGTTCATGTCCTTTCTGTTCACAGTGCCGTACTGAATCCCAAGCTGTGTCCACAGTCATCTGAAAAGATGGTGTTCTTAGAACTCATGATGTGCTTTCTCACAGACACGTTTTACATAAATGTCTGGGTCACAGATCCGTTCCTCTCCCCAAACAAACAAACAAACCCTAAAGAAGAATGTGGCTGAACTACTGTGTTTATGGTGGAACAGTCTTGTGTTAGTGATGGTAAACAGAAGTGACAATGTCGTCTCTGGGGAGGGAGACCTAATTCACTTTACTTTTCTCTGTGTATTCCTTTGTGCCTCTAGAGTTTTGTACAATATTCATATATTACCTGGCCTCAAAAATAAATTTATATAGGTTGAAAATGCCTGATTTTATGAAAAAGAAACTTGTTTTTGGCATGTGAAATACGGAGAGTTTGTGCTCCAGCCCGGGGAATGCACTAGATTATAGAAGGCAATCAGAAGTTAGCTTCTTTCTCTCTCTCATCCCTCCTACTTGTGTGGCGTTAGAGAGGCAGATGCAGTGGCAGCAGGGTCACCGCTGAGAGAGGAGCCAGTGAACCAAGGATGGATTGTGGTCACCTGGGGGCACCCAGAAACATCGGGGAGGAAAATGACCTCTCCCGCAACTAGGAAGCCAGAACCAATCCGGGCACTGATCTAAGATTCTGGCCCTTGGAGAGCTCAGGATCCAGGCATTATTCTGCTCTCTTATCTCAACCATTCTGCACCCTGCCCCCCGGCACCACAAGTTGGCTATGTTACTCGTTGCCCTGAAATGCCTCCACAAGTTAATTTCATTAAGAAGGTATTTTTTTGAATACCTGACGCAGGCAAGGCCCTGCATTCAGAACTTGATCCACTGGGCTGAACTAATTCTCATCACCGAGAACCAGAATGAATTAAAAACTTCTTTGACTCTCCTTTTTTTCTACCCATGTACATCCCAAATAAACTTCCTAGCTAGTGTGCATGCACGGCATGTTGACGTTTTTTACATCCCTCAGGTGCGGCTTACTTAGCGTAACTGTTATGCGATGCTGCAGTTTCATGTTCGCAGGCAGTATTTTGCTCTTAGATGGAATTGGTGGCAGTAATGGCTGGTGGGAGCTACAGTTTTATTCACATATTCAAACTAGAAAACCTTTCTCACTAGGGACCTCTCCTAGTGTCAACACACTGTAGAGACCTAACAGATGACATGTGGAAGTGGGGCTGGGGGCGTGCTGCCTGTGGTCTGGAGCGTTCCGGTCAGAGGATGGTGTGGGCACGGGTGTGGGGAGCGTTTGGAAGGGCACAGGATGCGGGTGCACGAAAAACTGTTCTGAATGGGGTGCTGAGGAGTTTGGTAGGCATCGAGGAGCCCTTTGCCATTTCTGAGCAGGAGAATGACCAGAGTTTGCATAGCTGGTGCTCTGTCAAGTGTTAAGAATGGAAGGGAGGGAGGGAGGGAAAGAGAGAGGGAAGGAGGGAGGGAGGAGGGAGGGAGGGAGGGAGGGATTCATCTGAATACTCTGTAAAGGAGTACAGTATCTTAGAAACTTGTTTCATGTTTCACAGTAAACTGATGGTTTAAGTATAGGAGCTATCTGTGGGTACTTAACTTTGTGTGAAAAAATTGGAACACAGATTTTTTTCCTTCAGTAGTTTCTAATTTGTTGAAGAAATATTGACACTTTGACCTTACAGGCCTTTGCAGAGCTCTATCCAGGTAAATAGTGCTTGAACTGTAAGCTGATTTAGAATAAAAAAAGTAAACTGCATAGTATGGAGTTGATTGGGAAATAATTCTTAGAGGAAGTAATCAGCAGTATTACTTTCAGAGGGAAAGAAGGGATCATTCAGCCTTATGGGAGACACTGTTTGTCTTCTGATGCTGGATTAGATGTAGTCCAGGGAGAGGCAAATAGAAAGTGTTAACACTGGAAAGAGGTGAGGGAAAGTGCCTGCTTTGGGATCATAAATGCAAATACAGTGCTGCCACTTCCTTGTTTTACTTAGTGAGTGGTGTTCACAACCACATCCTTATTTTCTTTCTCATTTTGTTACAAGGTAGAGCCCATTTTAACTATTTATTTTAGTTCTTATGAAACCAGAAAGTCGATGTTTATGCTGCTTGTCACTGCCCAGCCAATGAGTGGAGACAAGGATTGAATCTCTGGATGTTCGGTTCAGATGCTGGTGAGCTGAAAAGAATGAGAAGACAGTGGGTTGGTTATGTGCCCTAAAACCCACGTTAACCTCTTAACTGGGCAGGAGTTGCAGTCTGGTGGCGATTTTCCTCGTACTTCTTTATTTGCATCATGAATGTTCCCTCCCTGGAACACAGTGGCTCAGATACCATCTCCATTGCTTGCAGACCCTATCAACTATAACTGAGGCTAACGTCTTTAACTCTTGAGTTCTCTATCGCTTAGTATGTTTTGGGTAGAACTGAATCACTCAGTCCTCTTAATAGAGATAGTTAGCATGAGTTTGTTCTATTTTATATATAGTGCATAAAGTTCTTGGATTCTTTGCTGCTCTATCCTCTATTAATAGTGCTGTTTTGGATGAGAGTGTTGTTTTTACCAGTCTGTGGTTTATTTCTTTTTTTTATGTGAGATGAAGCCAGTAGTCCAGAAAACATGTATGTGATAGACAAAGCAAAAGCTTGAGTTAATGAAAATGTTCTACTAGATAGGAAATACCTAGAAATCTAAGGAGTAATTTATGGTAAGAAGTTACCACACACTTACTAAACTTTAAACTAACATTTTGCCTCTACAGTTTGTTCATGATCAAATATTCAAAAATGGAAGGGATAGGGTAGTGGGAAGGGAAGTTATGTGTCCATATCCCGATATGTTTAATTCTCAAGGTACAAAAGAAGGAATTGATTGAAATATATTCATAGGATTTGTGGAAGGATTTTATTTATTTATTTATTTATTTAAAGGTTTTTATTTCTTTTTAGACAGAGGAGAAGGGAGCAAGTCCAGATCAATTACTTATCAGCCTCCATTATTACCCAGGCGTCATCTCCAACGTTAGCCCCTCACTCATCTGCTCCAGCCTCCCGGGCGCCTTGCCGTTCCCTGAACACACTGAGGATGCTCCTGCCTCACTGCCAGTGTGCTTGCTGCTCCCCGGACAGGAGAGCTCTTCCTGCAGATAGTATCAAGGATCATTCTCTCGCTTCCTTTTCCTTCTTTACTTCACCCTGGCGACCCAGCTAGATTTTAGAATGACTTCAGTGTTTTACATCCTCCTTCCTTGTTTGATTTTTGTTTCCATTGACATTTTTCATTCACATACTTTGTATTTTATACATTTTTTCTCGTGTAGCATCTATTGTTATCTTTTTATTTACTACTCTATACCTAGTGTACAGAAGAGTGCCTGGCACATACTAGATATTCAGTAAATGTTTCAGATGGGAATGCTACGGGGAGTGGTGGCAATAACAAAAATTTTGAGTCTTTCGAATATTTACAATCAGGGTTGCGTGTGTGTGTAATACAAAACCACATAACAAACACATAGACGATTCAGTTTTAGGTGTAGGGGAAAAAAGTGTGTGTCTTTAATCTTGAAATCTCACTTAATACCTTCAAGGACAGCATAGAACAGCAAGGAAGTGCCTTCCTGCCTATAGTATTAAAAACAGGAATTATACCATTCATGTAAGTCAAACAGTAGTTAACAGGGAGAACACTTAATTGTGGTTCAGAGCTTTTAATCACCAGTTTTAACGGCCTTTCACAGGTTATTTCACCTAGTTTTCTTCATTAAATGGAAGCAAAGACAACACCGTTGGTTTATAAAATAAATACTCCTAGTTGTATAATGCTTTTAAACCATAGGATGACGCCAATTCAACATGTCTTCAGGTGGAAATTATTTGGGATTTTAAAATTCTCTTAGTTTAAGTTTTGAAACAGTCTTGTCATGTTTTAGCCATTTCTATGTATATCTTAAGAGTTACTTCCTTCTCTAGTAAAGATGTTGCCCTAATAGAAACTCAAACACAGCGGAACTTTTTTCACTAGCCTGTCTTTGGTATACAGTGTTCTGTTTATCACTGTCTGATGCCTTGAGATATTTCCATAGTACTCAGCTTTTCAGAGGAAGCTTCCTTGTCGCAGGAGCTATAGTCCTTCTGGACAGTAGACTCGGGAGTTTATCTGGAGATATTTGGAAAACTCTGTATTTGCAGTCATAACTTATGATAGCCTATTCTTGCCAAACAAGTCATGTAAACACATGATTCAGCTTTACTCTTCTACCCGTGCTGGGGCGTTCGTTTATATTCCAGTCTAAGTGATGGCCAGAGCTGTGTGTGTGTGTGTGTGTGTGTGTGTGTGTGTGTGTGCGCGCGCGCGCCCCCCGTGTGTCTGTTGGAACTGGCTGAAACATGAAATGTAAGATGTTCACTAATTGAATTTTCTTCTGGAGGAAAATAATTTATTGATTAGAGAAGTTGTACATGTCATTGCTCCAAATAATTGTTAAATTTGATAACTTACATTTTATTTCCAAAGTTGTATTTTCTAAGAACTCTTACTTTCTCACATCTCACTGTCCCCTCACTGATGTTAGCAGTGTAAAAAGCATACTTTTTGTTGAAGAGTGAGGGTGCATTTTTCATAAAAAAATCAAGTTTTAGTGACATACCTGGTGATTCAGTGACAGG